TGCACCAGCTCACAGGTGGATTTCCCAGTGAAGCTGAATAAGGTGTTTCATGTAACTGACCTTTCACAGGAGATGCTGGATGCCACCAGCTCTGCATTAAAGATGATAGTGACATTCCTGATAATGTTCCGATTTGTTATATCCATTGCATTCTTCTTTTATCCTCTGCCATTCATCTGATCAAGGATAAGCTGATGTGTTTCAACCAGTTTTAGTTAGACATCACCACTATCTAGTCTTGGCTACTGTATATCAAAACATTTCTTGGCAGTTTGTAGTTTGTTCCTCTACTACTCTCCTATGCCATCCCTTTTCTGGAATATTCTATCAGTAGCCTTCTTCAACAGTAGAAAGGTAGGGGATAGGCAGCAATACAGTCAATTTCCCAGAACATCCCATTGTTGTTTTGTGGGAGATGGTTTCTGATACCAGTCATAAGGAGCAGTTAATGACTGAAAAGTATGATGACTTTAGACACAGTAACCCTGCATAATCAAAACAGAGATTAAAGTATCACTCTGAACAGTTAGGAAACCTGCTTATTTGTAGTTACAAAATGTTTTCATATCTAAATGTTTTATAGTGGCTTTTCCACTACAAAGCCCTTATATACGGGATTTTTCTATAGCACAGCAGATCCTCATCAGTGTTTTGGAAGTAATGAGAATGTGCTTAATACAGAAAAGAATCTGTGCTTCCTGGCCCAGACAGCTGGGATTTTCAAAGGACCAAATTTCCCAACATAAATAATTTATAACAGTTGGACTCCTTAACTCTATGGAGAAGAGGCAGGAATAATGGAATGCTGGTCAGACAATTTCAGGGTCCACCAAAATCCTTCCTTCTCAAGTTAGGCAATAAATACAAGATCTTACACTTCAGCTGAAGTCACGTGCAGGTGACTATCACTCTTGTGGCCAGACAAACCCTTCAGGCATGTCTGGTTCCACATTAATCCTCTTTCCTTCATATGAGTCATTTGTGATAAGGAAACGTAGACAAGATTAAATTTCTATTAGATGGATGTATAACTGCTTGGAAAGCTGTTCTCAAGAAGCAGTTAATTATGCTTCACTGTCAGACTAGGTGCATTAAAGCATGTTCTCCAGGGACTATACAATATTTAGTTCCTGACTGAAAGATGAAATTAGCATTTAATGCTAGTCATACTACCTGGAAAAATACTACCTGGAAAAATACTACAAGATATTATGATCTTAAGCAATTATTTTAAGAATTTGGTTCAAAGAATGACATATAATGACAATAAAGATGAATGCTAACTTCTGTGTTTGTATAGAAGTAATCTTTTGCATACAGGCAAGTGAGGGAGGACTGACTCAGCAACAGTTCTGGAGACAATAGGTGGATCACAAGTTGCACGAGGCACCAGCGTATCTTTATGAAGGATGTAACTGTTGTACTGGAATATGTAGAAAGGAAGATTATTTGTAAAGCATACAAAGTGGTTCTTTTATTCTGCTCAGCACTGGAAAAGGCTTCTTTCTGGTTTGGGACACCACAACTGGAGAAGGATTCTGACCAGCTGGATACATTCCAGAGGAGAACAAAAGAGTGATCAGAAAGCTAGGAAATATAACTTGTGAGAAGATGTTGAATAAATAGGGGTTGTTTAATCTGAAGAAGAGGAAACTGAGGAAGTGCATCTTTTTCCAAATATAGAAGAAAAAAAAGAGAAGAAAATAAAGCTTTTTCTGTCTCCATTGCAAAACAAGCTCAGGCCAAATATCAATAGAAGTTTTCTAACTGTACTTTTGTTCTGAAATACCAAGGCATTGAGACACATTGCCTGGGGAAGTTTTGAAGTCCTCGTCATGTTCTAGAACAGGTAAATCTGTGAGGGATAGTTTCAAGTTGATTCTTTGGGCCAACAGAATAGTCTTGATAACTTCTCATGGTCTCTTCATCCCCTTGATTTTTTTTTCTCAAAGTTGAATAGTAAGGTCTGCTCCTCTCTTTTGGTTAATCCCAATTCCATGGCCAGAGAAACTGTTGTCCCCTCATTCTGTCCAATTTTGTGATTTCCATTTGCAAGCAAGCAAGAGAATCCTTATTTCTGATCTTGACAGAATAGCTGAAGCAACAGTGTTAGCAAAGAAACCCATCTGTCAATCAATGAAATGTCTCAGGACTATGCATTTCTCTCAGTCTGTCACAGCCTTGTGTACTCTAATAGGCCTTAATGGCCATGACCTGTGTCCCTTGGGGCCCCTACCCACACCTATGGGCATGGGAGCAGCAAGTTCAGCTCAGCCCTGGGCTGTTAGTCCAGACCTGAGCTCTGCTGTGTCAGTATCAACCTTCAGCCATGCCTGTTACTGCAAACATTGATCCAGACTCTGACTCGTAGTCTGACTTCATCAAACTTATCGCTGTGGACCTGCCTGGAGATCAGTGGGCTGTGTTTCATCATGGTTACTCTCACTGGACCTGATCCCAACCTGTGGATTGACATCCTAGCTTGGCCTCAGATCTGCCTTGTCACTGTGAACTCACCTGATGATATCCACTCTTGGTTGAACAAGTCTCAGGTCTGCCCACTCTCCTCGCTGGGGCTCCATGGGCTGAGCCTGGGCTGGTGAGGCCCCTGCAGGGCCAGCTGTGTTCCTACCCTGAGCTCAGGAGTGATCAGCCTGACACTGCTCATGCAGGACTCTGCAGCCCTCTGTCATGTCAGATTTGGGGTGTCCCATCTCATGCCATAGCTACTGGATAGGTCTTGTCACTAGAAGGTCTCTGCTTTTCGTTTGGGAGTGAAGTTCTTGCTAGCAGTGTGAAGAGCAGCAGGAGATGCACAGACAGGTAGAATGAGTCAGGATGTCGGGCTGAGGGTAGGTCACCCTCTCTTACCATGCAGCTCGCAGCCACCCTGACTGGTTTCCTGGTACTAAAGGAGTTCATTTCCATCTTTAGTTCTGATGAGGTTCTTTCCTTGTCAGCTCTTCTGCTCTCTCCCTATATCATATATATCATATACGTGTGTATGTGTGTGTATAAACACATAAATATTTACGTATATCACCACCAGCTGCACAGGTTCCCTGGGGGTGGTTAGACCATTAGTCCCACATGTAATCTTCAGATGTCCACTGACTGAATCAGGTGATTTGCTTATGCCCCAGACCCAGGTGTCCTGAGCTAGTTTTTGGAACTGTTTTTCTTAGTTATGACTTCATCCAGGAAGCCAGATGAGAGCCAAACCGTTTTTGGATCCAAATGGCTTCCTTCAAGAAAATGTGTTCCTGCACACCTGTCATAAGCATCTCCTGAACATGGGTTTGGTCTCTTCATCTTACCTAAACGACTGACATACTTCTATTCTTTCTTGAAGGAAGAAGTTTCTAGAGGCAGGGCATCTTTGGGCTTTTGTTGTTAAGAGGCCTTTGACTTTTTACCTCCACAGGACCAGGTGTTTCAGGTACAGAGTTGTTTGTGTCAGCAGCTGAGAGGCTGAAAGTCAGGAGTGCCAAGCAGGATAACCACCAGTGAAACCTGTTATGAAAACACCAAAAAGGAGCCACCCTCTAAGATTAATATACATTCCAGCAGAGCTCAGTCTAAATTAGTGGCTTTCTTGAGTGATATCTCCATTGCTGACATCTGCTCAACCACTACCAGGAGTTCCCTCCACACCTTTACAAAGTGTTTTGCCATTTCAGAAGCATCCAGGTATAATACAGTGTGTGGTAACATGTTTCTGCAGTGGTTGATGCATGAAGCATGCTGTGTCTCCCTACCAAGTGCTGTGAGTGTCAGGAGGAGCTGCAGTGTGGATATAAATATGGATAATCAATATTAATAATTTCTGTTTTGAAGATTAAAAATTATTTACATATCCAATTAATGAAAGTGTCAAAGGTGTGCTGTTTGTCAGCATGCTCCCTTCACGCACTCCTTCTCCATGTGTTTGAGTCTTTCTCAGAACTCTCAGCCTTGGGATTCTATGATGGAAAAGGAAGTTAGACAGTCTCCACATTGTGGGTGTAGCAAAGCCAACAAGCTTGACAGAAAGGAAGCAGAGTGTAAGCTAGTCTGGTGAATACTGCATGGAAATGAAACTGGGCTGAGGTTTTGCAGAACATGCAGCATGCACATGTGTGTATGATGTATACATTGATAGATAGATAGATAAAGGTATTTGTGAAATAACTTCCCTCTTGCTAGTGCAGGTTTCATTTCAGACAGTAGAGCTTAATGCAAGATTGTAAGAACTTTTGAACATACCTATGATAATGCTTACTAATAAATAAGTTTTTATTTCTTTTGATAAGGACATTGTATCTTATTACTGCTTTTAACAGAAGAACAGAAGTCTCCTTAGATATTGTGATTCCTGGAACAGTGATGAACCATTTCATCAAAAAGATCAGCCTGTGTGATGATGCTGTCATAAAGCCTGACATCACTGTTCTTGGCTGGATCACTCCCCTTCTCTTCAAATAATACTGATTTCAACAGCAGTATTTGAAGAGAAAAGAGGGTGCTTCCCAGTAGGAGATTGGGTGGTGCAACCTGGCCTGTAATCCTTTACTGTGAGGTTGCTGGGGTGTGGGTGGAGGGAGAAAGAGCATCTACTTCAGATAAAGAATATTATTGCAGTAGTCTCATTTTAACATTGGAAATAACATTTTAGTGAACTGTAGGGTACACTGTAGTACATGGCTAGAGACACTGGAATGAAATGAAGCTCATTCCATTTGGATTTCTTCCATCTAATTTTATTTTCCAAAGCCTACATCCGTTCTTGGACAAAGAGGATAATCTAGACAGAGCTGAATTAAGTTGTAGCCCCTGACTGCAGGGCTTGCTCTTATGGCTGGCTCTTTTTCAGGGCACAAAAATGAAACAGGAAACTCCGTTTGTCCTGCTGTGTTGTACATATGCACATGGACCTGTCCTCATTTCACTTTTTAAAATACTTGTTTCTTTTAGTATGTGAATATTGTGTAACTGTATTACTTTTTGTTTGTTTCTTCCAGAATGTTCTAATTGTGGAGGTAAGCTGGGTGCTTATGTCATATTGTACTTAGATAGAGTCACGTAGTCAAGTCGTGACAGAGTGTTCAGTTTCTGAAGCCTGTCTGTGTTTACACGTCTTTAGCTGGGAGGTGGTGAAGAGAGAGAGGGCTTGATTTGCTTAATGGCCTCTCAGTCTTTTTGCAATTGCATGACGGATCAAACTGCATTGCTGTCACTCTAATTAGTGCTCAGCCTTGTGATATCCAGGAGTCTTTGTTTCTGCATTATTTGATTTGTTATTTGTTATATCTGCTCATGTTCTGCAAGTTGTTCTGTTCCTTGGAGGACAGCGAATCAACTGCAGTGATGCCCTGCACTTCTCAGGTGCGTGACTTTGAAATAGTAACCCTGCACATGCTTTACAGCTTCAGGGTTGTTCACAGTCTGGTTGGGAGTGTCAGTCATTCCCTCAAGTCCCATCCCCAGCTCCTGCATCCAACTCTCCATCCAGCAGTGTCCCCTGGGGGATGGCCCATCACAGAGCTGTTGTGGATCAACAACAGTGTTCAGCTGTAGAGGAAAGAATGTATCACCTCACTGGTGCTTCAAATTCTCATATAATTAATATAGGTGATTCTCTTTGAAAATGTTGAATGAGCAACTGGTACAGTTAGAGAGCACATCAGGATCTGCCTGGCATTTCAGACCCAGTCTATGGCATGTGAGCTGGACAGTGTAATGAAGGAACTGTATGACGTTGGAATGCCTTCTCTTAGCAAAGGGTGGGAAAAAAGTCATCAGCCACAGAGATGGCTGGTTACCTGAACAGCTGCTAGGAGCTCTATATTATTAATTAATATTATTTATTAATTCTAGCTACTGTAACAGAAATTAAAAATGTTTGAAGAAAATTTTGTTATTGCTATTAGACAGCTGGGGAGCAGAAGCAAGGTGTTGATAATGAAAAATCCATACCCACAGAGTTCAGGAACAACAGCTGCTCTCCATGTCATGGCCAGTGTTGTAGCCAGGTACCTACTGATCTCATTGAGGTGATGTTGGGTATGGCAGCTCTAGAGAAAACACATTTGTACTGGACTAAGAAAACAACAAATAGGGTAGAGTTAGTCCTGACATGGAGAGATGTTGACATACTGTGATCTTGACCATAATATGAAAAGTCTAGTCCCTGCATCCTTGCAGCCCTCAGTAAAGTCATCTCCAGTCCCATGTTACATCCCAAATACTTGCAACATAGCTGTTTTCAAGAGGAAGTGGACAGTCCTTGAACTGATTATTTTATGAATAAAAAGTTCTTACTTCAAAGAGTGTAAGCTTAGTTATAACCTTTTTTTTAATGTGGCTTACAATGTACTGGGAAAAATAAATCATCTCCACAAAAATAAGAAGGTGGAACTGCTCAGTTATTGTCCAGATTTCCTCTTCTCAGCTTTTCTTTGTGTTTTACTTACTCTATTTTTCATGTTTTGTAAGGATATTGTTGGAACTGGAAGGACCATGAAGGTTCTGCTTAATACTATAGAAAAATACAAGCCAAAAATGATTAAAGTGGCAAGGTGAGTAAAACAATCACAAAGTAGTAATTAATCAGCCTAGTCCAACCTATTTTCAGTGGAGGTTCCCATTCTGAGATGCTGCTTTAATTCGATGCTGCACTCTTGCGTGGGGAGCTGTGCAGAGGAGCTGCCTGAGTCACTAGGGGGAGGGTGGGGGAAAGGAGAGGAAATGCTTTTGTATTGTTCTGCAGTGACAATGACCCTCCAGCCATTTCAAGGCTGGCACTGATGGACTTGGAAGGGGAACACACCCACCTCTTCCCTGCCATCAGGACACTGTCAGGAAGAGAAGCAGAACGAGAGCAGGGATTCACGTGGCTCAGAAGTTTTTTGATAAAGGGAAGAGTTTCTATACATGTTATTCACTTGCATATCTAGATTTAAAAGGGGTTTATTTTATTTTTAATTACAGTTTGTTGGTGAAAAGAACATCTCGGCCTGATGGATACAGACCAGATTGTAAGTGTTGTTGTGAAAGTCTGTACATGACAGTAGAAGTTACCACTACTCTTATCGCTTACCTTTCATATCATTCTGTGGACTGCTAGAAGCATTGAAAAATATCAGTTGCCAATGGGAGTATGGGATTCAATGAAAGGATTTGTGTAATTGTGGTTTGGAAAGCCTAGCCTCCTTATGTTTTCTGCAGAGTACTAACTTTATAGGGAAATTATGGAAGGGTTTTATTTTATCCGTGAAAGGTGAGCGTTACATCGTCTGTTTCTGACAAACCATATAGAAGAGAATGTGCATTTCTTCTTTTTCCTTCCTCTTGCATCTCTTTGGAGGAGCTGCAGGATTCCATCTGAACATGAAAGATGTTTTATAATATAGGTATTTGCAAGTTTTACATTTTTTTAATCATAATAACACTTTTAATTAATTTTTTGAAAAGTATTTTTTTAAAGGGTAAACACTGTTATTATAATTAAATCCCAACCCCCAAAAAGCAAAAGAGAAATTGGGCTTTTTAAACTTCCTCCTGCTGCTCTGTTCGTGTCACACCAGCACCACTTCCCTCTGAATTATAGGTCCTTGTACTATATACCATACTTATACTATCCTATATTGGTCCTTATACTCTAATATATAGACTTATTTAGAATAAATGATGTAATAACAGGTATGTGGCTAAATAGGAAAAGAATAGAGCCATCTAGAAGAGACCAACCAGTATGTGCTACTGAAGAAGGCTCTGGTCAGCTGAGTTGGGGAGGAGGGTAGAAGGAAAGTAGGCAGGTAAGTACCAGGAGGCAGCATGAAAGGTCTGGATTTGAGATGTGGGAGAGATGGAAACTTTATGAAGCAAAAGTTACTTAAATGTTGAGCATAGCCCTGAAGTTCTGGCCCAGTAATATGAACTATGACCCAAAAATTTTGTTGTACAACTTTTTATACAGTGGAGCGGTATTTTTAACATTTAGAATTTAATCCAGTAAAGTAAGGTATATATTTAACTGGATTAATTGATGAGAAACATATAAAAAAGGCAATAAAATTACTTCATAAAGTGTAGCATGTATTAACTTGTAAAATGAAACAGGTTTTATCCTTGTTTATTCAAACTGTGATGAATTTTGTTAAGCATCAGAAATCTCTTTGTAAATCACTGATAGTACCGTCTCATTTCCTCACTTACCCAAATTTACAATTCCAAAGTGTTTATTACCCCCATTTTTTACTAACTGAATAAATTCCTTACTTGAATAGCTGTAAAATTTTTTATATGGGCCTATTTTTTTGTATCTGGGTTTTTCTCTAGTTACTTAGTGAACAATTTGGAAAGAGTCTAACTTGTTTTATGTAGTGCTGATACTGCACAGACCTTCACACTCAAGCAGATGCATTCCTGTGCTTAGCTTCAGGTGTGTGAGATGTATAATTCACTTACACTGCATGCATTTATTTTGTTAATCATGTGCTGAGTCTTCATAAGGGTCGGGGCTTTAATTTAAGAAGCATTTGACATGTTTTGGTAGCATAATATGCAAAATAGTTTTTGCTATTCTCAGCAGAACAATATCTAGATCTCTGAAAGTTACTTCTGGTTTAAATTTGTACATTTTTGCATCATTACTGTGATACTGGACAGTTGTCATCACACACACACATACCAGTAGAGCTTCCAAACACAAGCAGAATTTTCCAGCTCTGATTTTGGCTTCCTTCCACAATGTGCCAGTGATAATTGTACACAACTCTTCAACTCTCCTACTGTTCACATCCCTGTCACAAATACTCTACGACTGGCAACTGGTTATGGGTCTGCTGCTGACCTTGATGTCTCAGACTCAAAAGTAGCATAACCTCAACTGACTACATATATGTAGAGTTTGGTTGTTGAGAACCAACACATGAATTAAGGGCTTATAGTTGCCACTGATCTTGTATTGATGGTGTTTGTTATTTGTCTCAATACAGATTACGGATTTGAAATTCCAGATTTATTTGTGGTAGGTTATGCCTTAGACTACAACGAGCACTTCAGAGATCTAAATGTAAGTTTCTTATAAAAAAAGTTATTTAAAAAGTCGCTGGTTTACTTTTCCCATATTTATTCCCATAAATACCCCATAATTTACCTCCTCCTTTCAGCCCTGAGGAGGTATTCTTTTGGGATTTGGGATCCTTAGAGTGAGTGCAGAACTCCCTGCAAAGCCTCAAATAATACAAAGGAGTCCCTGCTCAGCTGTGAAAGTTCCTTCCCATCTCTTCCCCCTAAGAGCAGAAGTCACACCTCTGTTATAATTCCATCTTAGGTGAGCCTAGGACTTCTCAGGTCCACCATTCCCAGTAAGTGCAGAGACAGCCACAGGTCAGGCGGGTTGTCTGAGTGCTGTGTTTCCTGCCCCTTTTCTCAGAGAGGTAAGGATGGAAAAAGGGTGCAAACCTTGCCTTTGCTTCTTGTGGTACTCCCAGGGTAGACCTCAAAGCTGGGAATTCCAAGAGGAAAAACTTGCTGTAGCTAGAAAGTGAAATCAGAATTCACTTCCAGATCTCTGGAAAGAGTAATTGTAGGATCACTAGACTGGCCAAGCCAAAGTACTTCTGAAAATGAATTAATAATCAATAATGTAATCAACTATGCTTTTGCAATCAGTGTTCTATTTTTTTCAGCATATATGTGTTATCAATGATCATGGCAAAGCAAAATACAGAGTCTGAAGCAGTAACATCAACACCTGAATATTTGAAGCAGAATTTGAAGCAGAAATTTGACTACACTCCCTCAAGCATTTCCCAGAAGAGTGATTCAACCAACTTGTGTGTCTTTCATCTCAGTATAATAAGGGGGTTACTCTAGAGATTAATATTAATACTGATTAATATTTAGAGAAGTGAGAGCTCTTATCTAAAATGTGAAGTATAGGGCTTTTAAAGTTACTACCTTTTTTTAAGTATTAAAGTTATCACGTAAGATGCCTTTTGACTAATAACTTGTCTGCCTCAGGTCTCATCGTGAATGCATCGTTTTGTTCAGTCCATCGTTCCACCCATTGCAATTCATGCACTTCACGGTATTGCATAAGATCATTCAAAAGTGCCATTCTGTACATGAAGATTATTGTAGAGGATTTTATTGACTTCACCATCCCTTTAGTCTTGGTCAGATATGCTGCTGCTAAATTGAAAGCATTATTTTGATTTAATTCCACAATTCAGAAGTTTCAGCTGAAGCTGTATGTTGTGTTGCAGTTCATTGCTGCCTCTTCCAAACAAAGCTGTAGCGCTCGGAATGCACTGAGTGTGGGTCAAAATGAACCCTTGCAATACACTGTTGATCTGAAGTTGGAGGATATCTGGTTCTGGTATATCATGTAGCCATTGATCTAACCTGTTTAATGTGCTGAATTTTAATCAAAACAAAACAATGCCAGGCGAGTTTGAATTTCTGCATGGTATCCCTTACTCCTATGGGACACAAACAAGTATAAAAATTAACAGTATCCTGTGCTTATATTCTTCATTAAACCTCATTAAGCACAAAAATTTACTGCTACTCAGACAATTATTCAGTTATGATTTGATTTTTGTAGCATGTCCAAGGTGAGACTTTTTGTAACCATTTGTTGTCTTCGAGAATAGAGATCTGACAACTCTGGAGAAGACTCGTGTAGAAAAAAAAATAAATAAATGTATAGGAAAACAGAAGAACAGGTAATGCATGAGTGCTGTAGACTATAGAGGTTCCTTCCTTTCTTTATACATCAGGTTTGAAGAAGTTTGTGAATTTACATGCTGCATTAACTGCAAGAAGTTTAATTTTGTATTGAATGTCACTGTTCTTAACTTCCTGAGGGAAACTAATGCAAAGTAAGGGGCTGTGTATCAGTAGCTTTGCTCTGAAATGTGAGAGGCAGATTGTTATTAGCTGCTATAAACTAATAAAGAAACATTAAGAACACTTGTTACATTGCACAGGGTTTTTTTTCCTGCTTCAGCATATTTCACACAGCCCCTAAAACTTTTAAAAAAGTGCATTTAACTGGTAAACACACCTTATGTATGTATCCTGCGACTCATGAGCTGTTGTTATTTGGATAAAATCCATTATGTTAAGGGAATGAAAAAGATCAAAGAATTATTGTGATTGCTAGAGAAATGCTTTAGCCCTCTCTTCTCCTTTTACCTATATTTTAGAAGAGTTCTGTTGAAAAGCTTTCCTTCAGAGTAACTTTCTTCTGGTTTAGAGAAGAATGCATACCCATACAGCCCCTGGAAGAAGCTGCTGAAGAGTGTCATCCCTTTTTCTTTTATGGGAGTGTTAACGTTTTTCTTAATGTTTCTGACTGGATTTTGTGGTAATGTCACATTGTGTAGACTGACATGTGTAGGCTTAGTCCAAGATATCCATTAGGTTATTTCCTCTTTTTCCTCTTTTCTTAAAAAGTCACAATCCAGTTTGCCTTGCTACGATGATCGGTCTTCAGCAACAATAACAACAAAATGTAGCAAGTGAATTTGTGTAAAATTAGTGTGAAAATATGAAGTACCATGTGAAAATATGAAGATGCACGTAAGTCAGTGTTAAAATTGTTAAATTGTTAAAATTAATAAAATTGTTAAAATTGTTTAACTGGAAGATTGATATTATTAAAATTTACATACTTAATAGAAAAGACCAGATTTCTAGAAAACATAAGAACTGGAATGTTTCTTCAAATTAATTCCATTTCCTCCTGTCATCATATTTTTAACATCATGAAAAAGCACCATACAGATCTCACTAGTGAATTTGCATGTGCAGTTTTACTGTGAATAAAGGGGGGTTTCTATTCTAATGTCATATTTGAATTTTGTACCTTCATGTGTCTGAGCATGTCCACGTATCTCAGCCGCCATCCACGTTACTCTTTGCTTGAAGCTCTTCTGTCTGAAAAATTATTTTTCGATTACTTTAACAATCAGATTCCAGGATACCATTAGTGTAGCTGAGGGAACAGGTGATCATGCATGCATGTCTGATCAGTATTGACTTGAGTCTCTTTGGTGTGCCCAGAGAATTTACTGTCTCGTGTTTCGATAGTAGTGCTGGTTCTATTCTTTCATTAAAGACCACTAAACATTTTTTCAGTTGTGGTTACACTCTATGACCCATGAAGCTATGTTTTGGAGTTTTTTAATCAGTTCAGCAACATCTATTGCTTAAAAGGAGAGGATATTCTTTAAAATCCATTAATTCCCTTGGACATTGTGTTTATGTATTGTGTGGGCTTCCGTTTTTATCTCAGTTTTTCTTCTTACACAGTTAACACAAGCATTCTTTCCCTACCTGTTGAATACCAATTAGCATGGACAGTAATTTGGTTTAAAGTCATGTAAATGTTTAGCAGCCATCAGGTTTTAGACTTTATTCAGCCCGTTCATGCTTACACTTGGCTCCATTCCAAAATATCCAAAAGTGATTTTCTGGAGAGAAAGTCAAAGTAGGAAGAATAATTCCTTGAGCTTGGTTAACTGAATATAAATTAGGATTTCACTTTGCAAACCATAGACATGGTCTGAATATCTGATAGTTTGTGCTTAAAAAATAGAATTGAAATAGTCTAAAAGGTCTGTAATTAAGATATTCAATTAAATTAGCTACTGCATTCTTGTAGTTAGAGCTGAACAAAGTAGAAAATAGTGTCTGGATGTTTGATTGCTTAATATTGGTGTTATATTTCCTGACCATGTTATGTTAATCCTCAAGGTTTTATTAATAAACTTTTATAATGTAAAATTCCAACATTTCCACTCAAAATACAATAGTAACTGCATGTGATACTCAGCTAGAGAACAGTTTCTGATCTGTGAAAGAGTCAGCTCATCACAGTTTAAACACAGTAAAATGCCTAACTTGGAGATGTACTTATGTCTTGAGGCATCGTTATTGCTCTGTGGTGAGAATAAGATTTATTTAAATACAAAAATGATGGGAATTCTAAATTTTAATATTTCTTTATACTGAGAAAGAAAAGGCTGAATCAGCTTCTCTGCATATTTTGCATTTTGATTTTCTCAGATAACATAGCAGTGAAAACCCCTGTTGTAATCAAACTTAGACATGCAAACTGTAATTCATTCTTGAAAAACTTGAAAAACTGTATTGAAAACTTTAATTTTCAGTTAAAAATGAGAGTCTCAAAAGAAAACCATTACAGGGTTCTGTAGCAAGAGAAAGAGGGATCCTTGCCCTTTTGTAAAACCATCACATTTGAGGATGTTTTTCACTTCTTTTACCTTTTTAAATGTTTTCCAAAACCTCTGATAGTGTATATATAAAGATCTGAAATGAATGAAGTATCTCAGCATACTGGAAAAGGTATCTTAGATTCTTTTTCTCCTTAAATTGGAGGGAGAAAGGTACACATATAAGTTAATGTAGGTGTGTGTTAGTTCAGTTTTCCAAAAGTTAGCTCTGCCTGTACCCTCCAGATGACTGAAGAGGCTGAGTCAGCCTCCTCCTGTGCTTATCTCAGTGCCCCCATTCGAAATCTCACAGTGGGAGCAGCAGAGTGTCAGGGGCTTTACTCACCCTCTCAAAAAATCGAAAATAAAGCAGAGAGAAAACAAAAGCCTTCATCCTAATTCCATACACTTTTCACAATTACTTGCTTAATGCCACATGCCTTCCTCTGGGAAGGCAGCCACGTGCAGCTGTCCCAGCACCTGAGCTGAGAGTGTTTGTACCACTAGGGAATGGCTGCTGTGCTTGCCAGGGATATTCAGAGCAGTGACAGCACTGCAGCAACACTCGGCCGACTAGAAAGGTTTGATCACAAGCCATAAACTTGGGATTATTTTGTGGTGTTAAAAGGATAATGGTTTGTTAAGAAAGAGCAATATTATGCACTTACAAACGATGAGAAGGGGAAGACAGCCCAAGTAGAGAAGGCAGCGCTAACAAACTGGGGAAAGGTTGTCATTTATTTTGCAGAAAACGTGGAGAACACACAACATTTTTCAGAAGGGAATAAAGGAGCCATCAGTTCTGGGTGAGGCTCCATAAGCCCCTTGAAAGCTGTCAGCTGTAGTTTGGATACTTGTGCTGTTATGAAGCACTGGCTGATCCTACCTTCCTTTCTGTCAATAAACTGGTGCTTGGTTTCTTTGTACCTTCACATGAACACTTGCTTATCCGCAGCTGAACTTTCCACTGCTGCCAGCAGTTGTTTTGGAACACCAAGGGGATTCCAAATGCAGAAATTTAGACTCAATTAGTTAAATACTTGCTGTCAAGCCTTGTTCCTTCTGCTGCTGCGTGGAGCAATGAGCTACTGACAAACTATTGGAGTCTGCAGTACAGCAATTTATGTGTAATGCTAAGTTTTGGATACTGTTCAGAGGATGACCTTTCGTTTGTTTCAGGAGAGGCATGAAAGTTTTTCCCTTTTTTTCCATAGCAGAAAGAGACAAAAATGACTTGCAGTATTGTGTTCTAGCAGTCTCTCTTCGAACTGCACAACTGGGCCTCTGATAACGGTAAGAAAGTCTTGTTTCTAATCATGACACAAAATTTCATTACATTAAATCATTACTACCCGTGTTCCAAAATCCTCTGGTCCTCCTGTTTGTAAAGCTTTGTACATTTGTCAGCACTGTTAAGTCACAAGGTTACACAAGGGACAGCTGTTGCTGGAAGATGTATGTTAGGCTTTCATAGCTATTGAATTTGCATAGAAAAACACTGGAATTTAGCTGAGATGTTTTGGAAGCAATGCCAAACCCAAAGTTATCTTGAAGCACTTTTTTTCCCCCATTTTCCTAAACTTCTAGAAGTATTAATCTCCCTTCTTCAGATTTCTAATCTCCAGTTACACACTGGTTTTATGTTCTGTTTTATCCTGTTGTCTTTTAACCAAGTCCTGTAGTTTTAAATTACACTCACAAATGCTTGTTGTTTATGAGGAAAGATAAGCCCTTGTTGTGAAATGTTCAAGAGCAGATTTTCAAAGGTGCATAAGCATCCAAGAAAATTTTATGGGATTTCACCTGCTTGGGGGGGGTGCCTGACTGCATCCTTCAGTGACCATGTACTTTTGAAAATGTTTCTTGCCTAATCTGGATAGACTGGGAAAACATGCAATACCATAACTTGCAATGAAAACAGAGAATGTCAGAACAAAAAGGAGAGGCAAGTACAATTGTGTCATTCTTTGATGTGGGCATGAATATTTCTTTGTCTTTCTGAACCATGCAAGTGTTGTTTAATTGATTTATTTGTTTGGAATTTCATGAGAATTATTGTGGTAATGTTTCTGCTTTTTCTTAGGAAATTTGGAATGAGGTGAGAGTGCTCAAAATTGAGCTTTTGGAAATAATAACTCAGCATAAATACTAGCACAGAGAAATAGAAAACAGATCAGCTACAAAGGAATATTCAACAACAATGGCATGAGCAGCAGAAGAGTCAAGGAGAGTAAAAAATGAAGTGTCATAAAAAAACTTTATCTGTGGAGTGTTGACTGGAATGGATCCACCAGTGGGTGTACAGGAAAGGTATTAAAATTGGTTAAATATGACCTGCTGAATGAGTGTGGAGATGGAAGCTTTCTGCTGAGAGCCAGTTTGGTCCTGGGCCCACTTGTGCCATATGGGAAGGAAAACCATAATAAACTGAAATTGTTTATCTTCCTCCAGAAACATTTCACATAATAACATGATGCTATTAACTGCATTCATGCTTTTAACTACAAACACCCAACTGAAACTTCCAGTACTATTTTGCCTAAGCTGTAGACTAGACAGTCTCAGCTCTGTAAGGTCAATCTCAATCTGTGCCTTAAATTTAATCAATGACTAGACACCGTTGTTACTCCATCTGAATAGATCTCAGTATTGTTCCCAACAGCCTCTCCATCTTATTTTCTGAGGTTTTTAGGTCTTCTCATCTCAAGCTTTATCCTATTCCTCAGAACTTTATTTCCATTTCTCCCAACTCCTCTTAGTCTATGTTGGGCAGAAACCTATTTACAAGCTCAGCAGGTGCTGCGAGAGAGATGAGGGATGCTCTGGAAAGAGACACTGCTGAGTTTGCAACCAAAGAAAACAAACCTCACAAACTGCTGAGACCTGGCTGGCAGTCAATGATCTTTCTTGGGAGATTTTAAGAAAAGTAGCAAATATTTAATGTAAGGGTAAAAAAAGAAAATCTCTGGTTTGTGTCCAGAAGTATCAGAGTGAAGAAGTTAACTGCCTTGGGAGGCATGGAGAGAGGACTTTGTGCCACCACCATTGCCCAGCATGGTTTCTTTGCTCTCAGAGCTTAGGCAGCATCTGGGCCTGCAGCAGAAATCCAGCCATTGAGACATAAATCAGCACAAAAAGCATCCTCCTTTGCTGCAGCTTCTCTAGCTCCAGTACTCAGACAAACACAGAACAGGGTTTATCCAGGTCAGGTCTGGCACACTGTTAATTCTGTCAGGCCTCAGCCATATCTCAGGGCAGTCTGGCCAAAATATGCCTCAAAGTGTTTTAATATTTTCCCCATGCAAGTCACAAGCTGGACTCCAAAGCTAGCAAGTGTTTTCCTGATTATGGTCCATTTATTTCTAGAGAGACAGTCAAGTACAAGAACATATTTCATGTGCAGGAGGGAAGAAGGAAACCAAGGCACATCATGGCACTGCCTCAGGCTAATCTGAAGCCTTTGGTTGGGCACAGATTTACCAGGGTTACTTTTCATCCCTTAAAACTGTGTTTAGACTGTCTCAACTTCAGCAGTCTCCGAGACATGTAAATTATTTTATGCAGAAGCACAACAGCTTTTTGTGAAGTCATAATAGGTTGTGAAAACTGTATGTAAAGCTACCCAAGGAGTCCGTGTTCTCTGTTTTGAGTAGCAAACTCACACCATAGAATACAGGCCCCCTCCTACAGAGGAACACAGACCAACTGACCACAATTGCTCACATACCCTGAGTTACAGAGTTAAGCCCCTGTGAAGTCTTAACAAGATCAGAGCTACAGATTTTAGTTAGTATAGGTGTACACGTGAAAAGAATATCATTTTCAATATGCATGTTATTCCAAACAGTCCTCTAGCCTCTTTTAATATAATGGCATCAGCCTAAAATTAGGAATGCTGATACAATTGTTAACTACAAGGGTGTAAATTTGGGAGACAACATTTAAATGCATTACTAAATATGGTGGGAAAGCAGCCGTGCAGTTCGTGATAAGGCTTAACACACATTCATCCACCAACATCCTCTGGGAGTCTCAGCTGTTGAGGTAAATCCTCGTTACCTGAGGAGAGAAAGGCACATCATAGCTGTTCTCAGCCATCATTAGGCAGACTTTCCAAAGCTCGTAATAATTTACAAGGCCCATTTCTAGTAAGACAAAAAGAGTGGAATATAAACTCTTGTTTATGAATCATAACAGTCAGCGTGGGGCACAGCTGCTTTATTCTGCTCTGAAGTTCACCTGCTTATGAATCCCAAGGCTTTCTCCCTTGAGGCTCCTCAAGTCCAACCTGGTCTGCCTAAAGCCACAGTTTCATCCACAGCCATTATCCTGACACAGCAGGCAGAACCTCTCCGTCTTCCACTTTAATTTGCTAAGAGAAACCCTTTCCTAGCCAAAGCTCTAAACTATGTAAAATTGTTATCTGTTATGTAGTGCAGGAGTGGCCACAAAGTGCTGGGTATCAGCTGAGCCTATGGGATGACAGACTTGGGTTGAACTGGAATGGAGATAGTGGTGTTTTACCCTGCCATTTTTGGAAGGGCTGGGTTGGGAGGATGAAAAGGACAATCACAGTTTCTTGTTATGCAGCAGCCTGAGCCAGAAGCACAGTGTTCCTCAGGGCTCAGAGCCTCTCCTGGCAGAGAAGAGGCAGCAATGCAACTCCCAGTGTCAAGTTCAGCACCCAGCTGAGGTCTCCTGGTATTTTCTGAGCTCAGTTCTTAATGTTAGAGCAGATGGGATCACAGTTTAAAACTGGAGAGATGTAGGAGTTTGCTTTTCATCACGAACAAGCCCTAAATAAAAAAATGTCATCAAGCTACCTTTATAAGCATCCCTGCTCTTCTCCCAAGGGTTTGTGCTTCCCTCCCTGGCTGCTGGTGTTGCCTCGATTCAGCTTCTTTCCAGAACCAGTTTTTCTCACCCTCTGCTGGTTCTCGTTCTTGCCCCCAGACTGCTGCATGAATGTGTGTTTTCCAGTCCAAAAATACCGTTCCTGACCTACTATTCCTTGCCAGCTCATGGCTACGACGTAAATAATAGTGTGGGTGGGAAAAAGTTATTTTGAAAATCAAGAAAGTAGGTGATTTCCATGTTTAGGTTTAATCAAAATTATAGTATATATAATTATAGTATATATAATATATAGTGAAACACTACGGCACCAATGCCTGGCTGATGTTCTCCACTGCTGCTGAAAGGAGATGCTGCCTTTACTCCTTCAGATGGTTTTGATATATAGGGAAATGTAGTGTTCCAGTAGGTAGTACTGTACTTATCCATAAAAACTGAGAACTAACAGATCAAGCAAACTTATAAATAATTATTTAAGAATTTAGGGTTTGGAGGGGCTTTGGCTTTTTATTAATTTTGCTCTGCCTTGACACACTTCGCAGAAGTCCTTGGCCAGCTTATTTTAAAAAGTCTTCTTATTAGTCATTCCAGGAAAACAAGCATTTATGATTTGTTATTTTGTCTATAGGTTCATCCAAGGTGAAAAATCTTGGGAAGTTGCCATCGCTCTTCTGAGTTAATTCAACACAAAGTAATCATATCAAAATTTGCTCTAAAAGTTAGTTTTAAAATATGCCATTAAGCATTCATATGTCACCATCTGCATTAAGAGCTTTATGAAAGACAAAAAGCAATTCTTATTTATGTACAAAGTTCCTATAGTAGTAGTTGTTAGTAGAAATATGGACATAGAAAAACAAATCAAAATAAAAATCAGAATTTTCTATCCCTGTTTTGATAGTGTTAGCTAAAAGGTATTTTTCTATTTCTCATATTCTCAGTCATTTTCCAGAACTCTACCAGGACTTCTGTGTTCAACATTTGAATACAATCACAGAATTCCTGTTTGAGGGCTTATTGAGTGTGCTTCATTAGCTCTGACCTTAGAAATTCCAGTTAAGAGAACCATCACGAGTCTGGTTTTAACTGAGGATGCTCACTTTCCCTCCTTCCAACCAGTATATTTCAAAGGCAGCATCCAGCTGCCAATTTGCTCATCTAAATCAAATTTCTTGTTGCCCTCCCTCATGTTTTCCACAGCAGGTCCGTGCACCTTATTTCTTCCAATATGTCTTGGGTGTGTTGACAGCACCACGGTGCTCCCATTTAAATGCTGAATGATCTCAGCAACTACAAAATTGTTTTCTCTTCCTCCAGTGACATTTTATGGCACAATAAGGCAGCCTTGAAGTGAGAACAACCGGCTTTAGAGGAATGCCCTTTATCATTTCAGCCCTTCTGGCCATGACAATAGCATAAAACATACACTGGGCGTCATCTTAGTTCCCGCCCCAGATTTCTGTGGCAATGCCAGAGATGGCTGATCTGCTTTTCCCAGTGCATTGCAATCACCGGTTATCTTGGCAACCCCAGGTTTGCTTTCCCCACTCTCTGGACTGGGCAGGCACCTGCACAAGCCCTACACGCTGCTGAGACTCCACCTCACTCCCACCCTTGGTGCTGGTTCTGCACACTGGTGTAGCAAAACTCTGGATTACAGCCTGGTGCCTCATGCCTCTCCTACTATTTGTAATTATTTGCAACACCTGGAGAAACTTCTAAGTCCTGCTTCTGGTTTTGGTCTGCTTCACCTGAGCAGCCAGCTTGCTCCTCTTTGTCTCTAAAGATCTGTCAGTCTTTTCAAAAACAAGAACTTTTCTTCCTGACAAAGCCAGATTCTTGGCACATTCTTCCAGCATTCCTTTAAACATCCAGTCAGCAAACAACAGCACAAACATTTGCCTGCCCTCTCATTGTTTCCTGACCCTGATTTACGAGAGGTCAGTGTGATAGATGTTTAAACTAACCACAGGCTCAGTTTATGCCAGGCCATTCCATCTGAGCTTTCATGTCGTATTAATTACAATTCCTTTAAATTCTGTTGCAATTAAAATTGAAAGCAACACTTGTATGCTTTCAGCACCTCCCACCCAAATACCACATATTGCTTGAGACCAGATTCCACCCTTCTTCTCCTTTCTCGATATCACCTTTCCTTCTATTCTTCATATTTTCAATCCACTCTTGAAAAACATAGAAGTTCATCAAATCAAGTGGAGAGCCAAGTGCAGTGACATCCAAGAGCAAAGTGCTGCTTTAGATAAGATGGTTACAGGCTGGCCCTTTGCAGATATTTCTGAGCTGGCTTTCACAGCACAAACATGGGATGTGGCAAGCACACAGACTTAGATTTTCTGTTTTAAAAATTGAGATGTTTCAGCCCTGATTTTAGAGAATCATGTCAGCGCTGCTTTCAAGCATTAGGGAATGTGCCAAACCAAATGAAACCATGGTCCTGTAGAGGTTGAAGTGTCCATGCTTTTCCAACCCAGCAGTGGTACTGCACATGGCAAAGCGTCCTGTTCAGCTGCAGCACCTTGTCACAGCAATGGCCAGCGGCACTGGGTTCAGCTACTTGGCCCCTCGCCCAACAGTTCAACTGCTGGATCATACTCTGCTTGCAGCACCTTGGCCTCTTCAGAATACTACTCCCTTTTCCCCCCACTTCATTTCTTTTATTGCCTTCCTTCATCTTTTGTTGTATTTCTATCTCTGCTTTGTCTTAATTTCACTGGAACCAGCAGCCTTCAGCTGGGCTCTCAGACTGAAGGATCTGCTGCGCTTCCTTTCTGGTCTCACAGGACTTCGGCTCAAGCTGCTGGCATAATTTCTTTCTTGTAGTTTCCCCCCCCCAGATTCTACTGAAATAACTGTTTGCTTTTCCAGTAAGAGATGCTGCATTCTACCAGGAGCAGGTGGTTCTCATTTCAGAAATTTCAGTCAAGAAACTGAAGCATGTGACATCTTGTGAATCATAGATTCTTGCTCTCTGTCCTGACATTTCTCTTATCTTTCTGAGCTGAAGGCTGATCCTTAAAATGGATAACTAATTGAAATTGCACACCATGCCACTACAGTCCAGCCAAATAATATCTAGACAAATGGTTTAGGTGGAGTCACTGCAAAATGCAGAATTAGAAAAGATCACTAGGTTTTGGTCTAGACAAAGTCTTTATATTTGTACTATTGCTTCCCAAATTAATTAAAAATTACAGCTCACAGCTCCTAAGTCTGTTTAAAATCTCCTCATATCTTCTATCAGCATAACCCTAGATTTATTTTCTTCTTCAAAAAGTGCAACTTGAGATCCTGTTTACCATTTTGCAGCCTTTCTTTGCTCCTGCCTGAGAACTGGAGTGCTGCTGACCCTAACCAGCCACGAGGCACTTCAGCTTGTTCCATGCCATAGGAAGTCCATCTGAAAATGTACCACCTTTAGCCTGACCATGTGTCCAGTGAGAAAAAATGCATAAGGGAAAAAAAAAAAAGCAAGAGATCACAGAGACAATTATTTTTAAAATATGCATTACAGAAGATTATCTATGGCACAAGGGGATATCAGGTTCAAACAGCTAAAATTCAAAATCTGAATGTCTTACACATTTTAAAATATATCTTTGGGTTTGGATGTGTCTGGCTGGGGTCTATCTCTCTCTTTTTGGCATTATCTGAACTGAGCTAGTTGAAAGCAGATTCTGCTGACTCCAGACTCTTCCAGTTTCTATCACTAGCCCATCACATAACAACAATAACTTTACACTTAGCTCATGAAGATATGCCAGAGAATTTTCTTCCACACCTCGCTGCAGTCCAGACGGGCTGGAAGGCAATGCAGTGTCCTGGGAGCAGCTATGCCTGAGCCCATAACAACTTTTTGTCCTACTTAGTATCTGAATGTTCTTGTTTTCAGTTGTGTGCAAAGGACAAGAGCTTGGAGCTTGTGCATGTGCTATTTGAGTGGCCCCTGATAATGTCAGTGCCACGGAGTTACAGTCATCATCCCTGATAAAAGTAGTGTTCTCCTGCTCTCTTTTGCAGTGTGTGGATTCTCTGCAAAAGAGGGAATGGCATATTTGCAGGTGCAAGTAGCAATCCTTCTCAAGGATACTTTAGTCTCTCCCACCTTAAAAAAACCTGTCCTTAACTCCAGTTGCCCATCACGGTGCACCCTCCTTCTTGCTGGAGGTCTGCTCCTTGAGCAGCACATCATTGCTCAGCGTTTCTTCTTCACTTCTGGCCTAGCTCTTCCCTGATTCGGCTTCTGCCACTCAATCAGTGTACTCGGCTCATGACTTCCATAAAGTTTGGAACTGGGGGCAAGATGACTCTTTCATTCCAATTTTAAACTGTTACATGTAAAGCTCAGGCATATTAAAGACAGAAGCTTGTGGGGGAAGGAGAAGGAATAGTGCATCTCTCTCAGCAGCTTCCTTACGATCAGGGCTAACAAGAAACAGACTGTTCTATTCACACCAAGCTTCCAGAAAGCCCAGATCTCTCTTCAGTATCCCAGAAAAGCCTCTATCAATTTATTTCTAGCTAATACTACCTCCCTCCTCTGATCTGTCTCCTACTTTCAAGAGATTTACTCAGGTTACTCTTCACGCTTTCATTTGGTTTCCACAGTTCTATTTCAGCTTCCACATCTTTAATCTTTCTTACAAGGTGTTAAGGGATCCTTATTCACTTTTCAGCATTTTCTGGAAAGTCAAGAAATAACTGTATTCAATCACCTCTTCTTCCCTCTCTGTACTTTGCTTCTGAAGGATCTCACCATAAATACCATTTCGGCACCTTTCTCCATGCTTATGATTCACCAGCTTTTCTACTTCCTATTTGTCACATGGGGATATTTTTGGTAATCTTTTTAATGCCACTCCACTAAACACATTTTCTTGCAAGTCTTGGGCTTCTGTGTCCTCTTATTATAGAAACCTGATTTTGGTTTCTCACATCTGTTACTCCCACCTTGTACAACTTGTGTTCCCATAGTTCTGATATGGGTAGGAAAGCGGTGGTGGGTTTGTGTGGGGTCACCAGTCACTGTAACCTAAAAAATGTGAGCAGGTCTCATTGAGGTTTGGTGAATGGAAGTAGATTAAGTCTTGAAAACATCCTTTAAGACTAACTTATACTATCCTTTGCTCATATTTTTTTGGTTTTTTTCTCTGCATTTGGGAAGGTGGATAATACATAATCAAGCCTACCAGATTTTTCTAAAGACAACTGTATCCAACTGTGGAGGTGTAAACACAAAAGAGAGGGGCTGAGTGCCTGGCACTGACCGACAGGGAATAACTGGGAGTAATGAGATTAAACTGAACAAAGGAAAACCACTGAAGGTTGAACATCAGGAAAATATCCTGGCTGTGTCTATCAGACCGTGGACTAATTTCCCACGGGAAGTGGTAGAAACTCCATCTCTTGAGTAATTTAAAATTAGAACAGATAAATCACTAAAAAACAGAGGGTTGGGAACAACCCAATTGGAATTGGAAGGGGATGAACTAGACAGTTTTGAAAGATGTATTTAGTCTCAGTTTCTCTTATTCTGAAATTAAATAACAAGACCTGTTTAGGGTCTGCTCACGCAGGACTGATGAACCTGCAGCTGCCCCATGTTCTCCTCATTATGGCCAGGTTGAAATGCTAATGTGACTCTATCTGATCATTTGTTTGTGCTGCGGTAGCATTAAAGCCTGAGCCTGGCAGGGAAACCAGAGGAGTTCCCCACGGTCCCTCCTCCTCCCCAAATCACAGACCTGGTTGGGGACTGTCCTAAGGTTTTTCTGCCAAATCCTTTGTTTTCGACAGATTCCTTGTTATTTCCTCTACCACGTACCCTGCTGGGCTGAGCTCCCCTGGATGGCAGAGCTGAAGCAATTTAAAATGCAAAATGCTTTACACAGCCCTGATGGAACAGGGGCCACCACAGACAGCCCACTAATTTCTCCAGAGCTACTGGGTACAAACAGCTTCTGTTGCCATGGTTCACTCTTTGCTGCATGTGAGAGATGGTCCAGCTCCACGTGCAATTACTGCAGTAAGGACTTGGCCCCAAAATCAAAAATAATTCACGTTTCCAGTTCTCAAAAACAGCAGGCCAAGAAAATGGCTCGTTTACAGTTGTGTCTTTAGCAACAGCCCGTGGTCCAGATCACTGACTTTTCAAAAAAAATCAGCTTTAATACAGTTGTGCAGATGCTTGGAAAAGCAACAAAGGTGATGAGGCAAGTTCAGAGAAGATACAAGTGACCTTCCTGTCTTTCTGTTACGTAACACTTCTGGTTATCCCATCAGCAGCGTCAGTCCACACAGCATTGCTCTCAGTCCACACACAGCTGTTTTTCCAACTAATTGAACTCTACTGCAATGCATTTTTTGGGGGGCTGAAGTGCTGAGGAAAGCTGAACCTAAACTGGATTACATTTTGAGGATTTCTTTTGAAATTAAACTTGTAACATCAAGTTTAAGGATCTGATAAATAACATTTGAGTTCTGTTATCTCCAGAACTGTCTTCATTTTCTATGGTTTGCTGAAGAGGACAACAGGTCAGGGGTTTTTTGTGTGTGTTACGTCTTTTTCAGCTGAGCAGCTCTACATGGGCTGTTGCATTTCTCAACTGGCAAAAGGCTTTTTTAAAAAAAAATATTGTTGGTTTAGCACAAGACACCTGAGAGTTTCCCATCTTACAGTCAGAAAGAAGGAAAATAAACTGACAATCGTTGTAGTTGATCTATAGAGGGGAAAAGGGAATTACTTGGGAAGAAGATTGATTTGAACTATTTCAAGATTCTCCTTTTCTTACCTATCTGAGGACATAAGTTTAGGTAAGTAATGCAATCCAAATCAAGAGCTGTGAGTACAACTTAGCAAAAGAAAAAAAAAAAATTACCTGTTGATAAGTCATTGGTTCAGAATCAGGCTAACCTTCTTAGCTCTGATTTTGTATAGCTTTATAGTTATTCTGGAAGAATTTTTTTCTCATATAATGATTATTCTGCTTGCATCCAGTCTTTTATTGATAATTTCATGTGTTATACTTTCCATTATTTTAATCTCTTTTTTGCAGAGGTTTATAATTTCTAATATCTTACTCATCTTTGCTTGTCTCCATTCCACATTTACTTTGCCATTTAGACAGTTTTTGCTTTCTCCCTGTATCTGTCTTATTTTTATAATCGCTGCGTATCTTTTTTGATTTTCCACAGCACAGCTTCACAGTATCAAATACTCATGTTGCAAAATTTCCCCTTGTATAAAGATCAACAATAAGTTAGCTGGAAGTCATTCGTATTTCATTATACTTGGCACTGAGAAGTGCAGCTTTTAAAGAGCCTCCACCCTACAGCTGCATCTCATCATTGATCCATTTAAATGCACTAATCTAGCCAAAAAGCAAATGTTTCCCATTACAACCTGTCTCTAAGTGACATCTATGTGCTAGTTTAGGAATAGATCTTCATAACAGAACTACTTTGGAGGTAAACCAGGAAAAGATATTCCTCTGGTTCAGTGCTGAACACTTGCATGCTTTTAGCCTGAAATAAGGATGGAGCCATTGCTTCCATCCAGTTCTGTAGTGGGTAAAATAAACATTGGGAGCGTTGCTCACTGAATACAAATTCTGCAATTATGGGTTGTGTGTATGACCAGTTAGGTGACTAGAAATTGGCTCCAACATTGATAGGGATTTCTCCACAGAAAAAGGAAAAACCTTAAAATCTCCGAAGCTCAAAATGAACATAAGGGAGAATATCTAGCATACAACTAATATCACAAAGACCCTCAGGTCTTTATAATAGTGATTGTAACACTATAGCTTCATAAAAGGAGTAATGAGGCCTGATCCGCCCACAGGCTATCACAGAAGTGTGTGGGATGGCTTCTGAGTTGGTTTGACTTTATTGACATAGTTATAATACTGGAAAATCTGCTAATCGAGATGAAATGTCTGAAAAAAAACCAAAATGTGGGGTTTGCAGGTCCTGTGACACAGGCGCATTTTGAAGTCAGCCTCACAGATGAAAAAAAGTTTTCTTACAACAAAGAAGGAGCACACACAGTGTATTCTATACCATATTCATTATTTCATATATGTTTATGTTGAAATAATGATCAATATCCAGTGCAGATCGTCTTTCAGTCCCAAAGCTGCCTTTGCATACTTCTCAGCAGCCGGTGGGCTGCAGGACTCTCCCCCGACTCCGCTCCGCTCCGCTCTGACAGCTGTCACAGGAGAACTAGAGGGTTTTATAACAAGAGAGTGGGTAACTGTAATTTTGGTACTCAGGAACTTGTGGGAGTCTGTTTCTTGGTTCCAAAGGCAAGTGGATAAATGAGAATGTACAGTGAGAGATGCACAGGCTTTGGAGCACTTTTCAGGAGCTGCTACCGGGTGATCCATGGAGGCCATACCCAGCTACTTATAAATTCTGGCACCTTTAGATATCCTATGGTTTCTCCTGAAGGCCCTTCTTGCTGCCAAATGGTTTTTGTGCGTCTTCAATGGATGTCTGAATCATAGATTATGATAAGAGTCACAAAACTAAGTCTATTTTTTATCTCCTTTCCAAAGCTGCTTTTGTGATTCACAGTTGTAGTTAACAGTACCTTTGACCTCTGACGTGCCTTCCCATACGCTCAGCCTTAAGACAGACTTACAGTTAAAGCCCTGAGTTGTATTTGCTTTCTGAATTAACATCCCAGCTGTGATAAATGCGGCAATGCTTGGATACCAAAGTTATTGTTTCACGCTGTTTGCTGGCAGCATCAGAAGGATAACTGCAGTGGTCTCAGTTCAAGTCACAGACCAAAGGCTGTCTTTTATAGCCACAAGGACTGCAAAACAACCTGCTGTAGGGAGGCCTTGGTTCTCCATCCCAGTTCCATGAAAGGAACACATCCCCAATCACTGTCTTGTCCAGGTGAACAAGATAAGGATTTAATCACTCCTCGCTACAGAATACTTTAAAGAATATCTGTACTGAAAGTCCTTCTGTGATGCTGATCTACAGTGAACAAAAAACCGCAGCCCTTGTGAGAAAAACAAGAAAAAACAAGATTTGAATTCAGTTCTAATGCATTTGGCACACAGTTTATGATGTTTAACTCTTCACCTCAAGAGAGGTCAATTATATCATGTCTCAATATTTTACTTTACTCTGGACTTACACACAAGTCACTTGTGAAACAGATCTCACAATTTCTTATGGTAGTGAACACCACTGCTCAATTCTTTATTACTATTAAACGGACCCAATTTCTATGTCTATAAAAATGACATGCCAATAAAAATGACTAGGCATATTGTTTCCAGGGTTACAACCCTTCCTGGTATAGTTTGCGACAGCCAGACTACTAAATTTTTTAACATGATGAATGAAACTAAACTGAAAATCAATATTTTCTTTTACAGAAGCTTTCAAAATACAAGTCCTGGTGTCTTGCTCAGAGTAAAAAATCCTTCCTTACTAAAGACAAACCTCCAGTAATACAGATCCTGCAGCACAGTCACACTTGCTCTCACCCCACAAAACGGCATGACAATTTATAAAGCTAAAGAATTAGAAAATACCTAATTAACATAATTGAAATGTCTCAGTTAATATACTTGGTTAACAGCAGTGTTACCAGGAGAAAATTCCCCCTACACACTTGGATGGAAGCCTTACTGTTACCTCATGTCATATTTATTTCTTAATATAGAAATAATTAATACTTTTATATGTGTAGTTATACAGAGCAGAATTGCACAGCTGTCTCCTGCTAGCCATCAAAGGGATGTGTTTTATACACAGGAATAAAGTGTTACTTTTTTCGTAATTCTCCCAGTGTGAGGGCGGACAAAAAGAAAATGGTCTAATAATATGTCACTGCAGTTGCAGTAGTCTGGGCTCTCCCAGAAGTCACTGGAGAGAAATGAGAACCCTGAGAGGTTGATGCAGGCCATCCTACGTGTGGTATGAACGTGTCTGGTCAGCTTCTGTGTCTCTTCACTGACTATTGAGCAAGCTTAGCAGATAAGCTCAGACCAAATGAATAATTTATAGATGGGTAAAATCAGGCGTCATGAATACCATCCCCAGTGCCTAGTGCACTTGGAGAGTACAAGGCAAGCAGAAAATTTCCCTTGCCTCAGGATGTTAGGGGGCTGTCTTATTAGGCTCCCTGTTTGCCCAGAAAGGAGTCCTATTGCAGCCAGATTTGTAAGGATTTGCTTGTTCCTGGAACTAGCAACAGTGCCCGTGCTGGAACACCTGTACCTGCAGAAAGAACCCCTCATTCTTTTCTTCACATCGAGCTAAATTGCAGCTGAATAAGGCATTCATATTTTTTAAAGAGTACCCAGAATACATTTTGCTAATCCATTACTGTTTTCAATATTTCAGCTCCTGCTCTGAATTGGAACCAAAAACAAGTCTTTTCATTAAAAGCCAGAAGAAGAGAGCATGAGATCCATTTAATTAAAGCATTTCCTGCCAATACGCTAAGGGACATTTAGATTCTGCACGCATCTTATGCATAATCAATGGAAATTGCATGAGCAGAATCTGGAAAGGCTTGGAGCAAGCCAATGTAAAATGAGCAAAGGCTACAATAGTCTAGACCCTAGATTAAAAAGCTCTGGCATTTATCAGAGAAGAACCAAAATATTTAGCTACTAAGTGGGCCCCCTGTCTCTTGAAGAGTGTCAGGTGAGCTCTGACATGGTTTAGAGCACCGAGTGCTCTGCACTGAGTGCTCTAGCAATGCTTCTGCAGAGGATGCACAATCCCCTCATCCAGAATTACCAGTCTCCCAATATCTGGCATATCTTCCAGCTGGATCAGTTATTTCTATACTCTCTCTCAATGGAGAGCAGCATAAGAAGGGGAGGGCACTAGTGCATTACTCCAGCAGTCTGTGAAATAACCATTTGGATCCAAATGCAGCTAAATCAGGCAGCTGTTTGAGGTAGCTGTCTTCAGGCATCACTAACATGGACCATCCTTTACCGATGACCTAAGCAGCGTGCCTCACTCTCTGCCCTCACCTTTGTTCTTGTAACAACAATATTGTCATGATCATGAAGAGCATAATCCTCCAAGCTGGAGTCAGAAAACATCTTGCAGGAGGAAAAGCCAAAAGATGACTTCTGCAGTGTTTCCACGCAGTTCATCCCCTTCACTAAAGCAGCTAACTATTGGAAGGGACTTGAGCTCTACACAGATGTTATTTACCTCTATTTTGAAATGCAGAAAGTTGCAGTAATCTGTTTATTTTTCTTTAACTCTTTTGTACTCTGGAAGTATCACACAGTTCAGAAGGCAATACGACTAACTTTTAAGAAAACTATTTTGCTAGCACTGTTTTAACAACTGTTGCTTTGTAAAAGAAATGCAATAAATAAGGAAAAGCAGATTAAATAAACATAGAAGCTAAGAACAGCCCAAAACAGTTTTAGTGAATAGAGAAGTTTGACAAATGACGACTACTGCAAATCTTTGTTTTTTCTCTGGCTTACATCAAGATTTCTCTAAAACTTAGATGATGTCTCCAGAAGAGCAGCCTGACACAATGCAAATGGAACGGAACCTGTTACTCCTGCTGGGGATGAGAAGAGCAAATAGGAATATGTCATATCAAGGAGGAGGGTTTTTCCTTTGGATTTCCTTTTTATATTAATCAGATCCAGTTACTCAGGCTAATTACCTTTATGGAAGTTGTATAATACTTGTGGCCCTCACTTCAGGCAGTGATATAGTCCTGAACTCTTAACAGTCCATCCCCACCTGATCAAAAGGAAAGACCACTCTCACTGTATCAAAAATATTAATCAATCCCTGACCTTAGACATTGGAAAAAAATGCTTTGCATTACTGTGCTCAGAGTTTGTTTTGTATTTTGCTTAGGCCTTAAGGAGTGCCTTGAGAATTAAACTAACTTGGACTGTTTTCCCTTGCCGCCCTTGCAATGCTTTGGTCTAATCCTGCAAATGACCTTTGTGTGGACATATTTTGCATCCACATGGAGCCATTTGGAGTCTGGCACATGTGAAACAGCACAATACTGCAGTGAAGAGTTCAAGTATATCCAATGAGTTAAAATATTTGGCTGCTGCTTTCTTCTGGAAAAGCAGTTCTGAAGTGAATGTCTGAGGGTGTCTCAGCAGAAGACTGGGCTGAAAATATTCTGTAAACGTGGCTTTGTTCCTTAGCTCATTACTTTCCTTTCAACTTCTCCCAGCATTATGTTATTGCTGATCAGATTTCTGGATTGATTTTTGACCAAATTTGAAACTGTAAGTTCATTGCCAAACAGGGACAAATGGGTAGAGGTTGCTGGCAATTAATTTAGTCACACTAGAAACATGTTATATTCAATGCTTTCTTCAGTCAGTTCTTCCACACTACAGTTTGCATAGGCAATCAACATAGCCTTTGTACAGAAAAATAGTGAACATTTCTGTTCATTCGCTGCTATGATTTACATGGCTGGATTCCTATGTTGGTTTTCTTCTGTGGAGGCAGATGAGCTACTTGGAACCTAAACTCAATCCTGGGTGTCCCTTCTGCACGCAGTTGCCTGTGATGTTTCCTAAAGTTACAGCAGAATCATTCAATTAGATCAGTATCTCTAACTCCGAGCAGCCAGCAACTTCTGTAGCATTTGACATTTATTCAAAGGGTTTGTAAAACACCAAAAGAGAATTAATCGGGTACTTTCTTCTTCTTGAAAGCAGCATTCTTAAGCAATCCTGTCTCTGGAAGTAGTGGTATTTATAGTACTTCTTCCAGGAAGTTATAGTGACAGTTTAGTTCTGTTATAATACCAAACAGAATCCTAATCCAGCCTCTTCTGAAAAATTCATACCATACACACACAAATACAATCCTTCTTGCCTCACAGGTGTTTGTTTTTGTTTTTTGGTTGGTTGGTTTGATTGTTTGGGTTTTTGGGGGAATTTTTTTGGAAGGGTCATGCTTCCCTGAATGTTGTCTCCCCATTTTCCATCTCACTTCTTAAAATTTGTAACAGAAAGATGGAAAGTGGTGGGGAGAGAAAACAACAACAAAAAAAAATCACAAAACCCCCACCCCCAACCAACCAAACCTCCCCCCAGTGTAATATCACTTTCAGAGCCTAGTCCCCATAAATAGTAATCAGCTTACAGGTTTAGACATCTTCTGGCCTTTAGATGACTCCTGCTGTCCTAGAGAGCATCTCTCGTGTCTCTTCAGTGAAAACAGAGCTGAGCAGGGGTCGATCAGCATAAGTAGCAGCACATGAAGTCATATTTAGCAGCCAGTAAGAGCCAAGTACCTGGTTTCCATAGGGTGTCTGGCAGTGAGGTTCTGATGAGCTCAAAGTGAAGTAAAAGCTCTTTGGATAGAGTAGATAAAATAAGAGAGCAGCAACTGACACATGGGGTGTCACCTTTGGGTGGGTCACGTCATTTTTGGAAGAAGGGAGGGTTTGAATGAAATCAAGATATTCATGTGACATGTCTAATTTTTTTATTCCTCGGGGTTTTCTCAATGCCTGAAAGCTGTCTTGATCCAGCCCAGTTCTAGAGGAAGATCTGTTTAAGGACAGAGCTCAGGAGAAAGCTGCCACACTTTGCTCATCTAGGGGAAGTTGTGGATAGTCAGAAGAAATACAGGATGGGTAGCCTGAATTTTGGAGACAGCTGTTAGCACCTCTGTGCTACTAAAACAAGGTTTCACTAATCAGCAGATCAAGCTGCTGATTATATGATAAAGCAGGGAGAGAGTGATAACACTGTTGTCGATTCATCACCAGCTACTTCCACCTGAATTGTCAGTTCAGTAGTTAAACTAAACATTTTACAAAATAAAGCTGATTTATCACCTCCCAGATGACAGCACAGAACCAAACACAGAGCTGTTATTGCAGTACAGGAGCTAAGGTAACTCAAATGGTCATTTCACTTTTCTCTGTCATTCGAGCACTTAAACCTTTCCTGTCATGGCCAATTTTAAATAGGTTGGATATTTATTGTGTTGAACTCTTTTAAACTGTGCGTGTGTGGGAAGGGAGGGTTTCTGAGGGAAAATGCTGCACATGTAATAGTCCCTGCTGGCTTTCTAAAACAAGTTAACATTGTTTGACCTAAAGTGAATAAACCCTCAGCAGAACTGAGGCCGATGACTTTATCTGTTAGACTCTGGCTCCTCTAATTTAAAACAAATGAAAGAATGTAGATAGTTTAAGTGAATGCAGAAGAGATTGGAGTGATTTTTTTTCCCCTAGACCTTTAAAAAATTAGGAAATCCAGCTGTAAACAGACATGGCGTCTTCAGAAACATTGTCACTGTTGTTATTCCACAGTGACAGTTTCCAACAGCAAAGCAAGAAAAACAAGTTTTGCTTTGCTTATGGTTTCAGAGTGTGTCAGTAGATTTTCATTGCTAGGAACCCAAGTTAAAAGTATTAAGTGAGTTCTGCTGGGCTCCTCCTAGCCATAATCTTGCTTGCTCAAATTTTACACTGCAACCCATTCCCTTGGGCTCACTGAATTATACTTGAAATTGTTTTTGTCTCTGGCTGGATGATAGTAAATTCCTGCAGGCTTGAACAATTTTGTATTTCCTTACAGAGTACCAAGTTTGCTGTTGGAGGTGAAATACTAATGCCACAAACCCACCAAAATGTATCCAACCCCAGACTCAGAGTAGCAGGGATGGTTAGTGTGAACATCTGAGCTGATTGCTGTAAAAGCCATGTGTCAGCCTGCCTTGGTGCACTTTGGTAGCTTCACACAAACGTGTCTGGGTCCAGTTCAGGAAGATTATACCCAGGCATAGACAAGAGTATTAATAAGTGCTAAGTTAGGTTATGAATTCACAACACATCAGAAACTTTTCAACATCTCTGCTTTGGACACATTTTTCATGGAAGAATAACTTTTCTCACTACTCTGTTACCCTTTTTCTGAGGGGAAGTGAAGCCTCCTTCCTGAACACAGCTTTCTCTCTGTTTGGTGATGGTTCAGGGATGCTGGCCAGAAGGAAGAGTCATCTTGCTGTCTACTCCTGGTTTCTCCTTCTGCTTTGGACTTTGTCACCCTGACCACATGAGGAGCAGTGTCCTGACAGACACAGATCTCTTTTCACACCTAAGCTTTGTTATCTGAGAAGAATATCTTGACAAATAAAAGACACATCAGCTGAGATATTGGTTTTCATAGCACAGGTAACTGGTTCCCAAAAGTGGACAAGTGCCAGAAACCAAATAGTTCGTCCTCCCTAAAGTGCAGCAGGATAAAAACTAGATACACAGACTTCTACCCAAGTGTAATGTTACTCTCTGTTGGCACTCCCAGGCAGTCATTTTCCCTGAGAGCTATCCTGCACAATACTGTACGAACGTGCAGTGGGTTTCTGTGGCTAGGTTTTGGTAACGGGTGGGGGGCTACAGGGGTGGCTTCTGTTAGAAGCTGCTAGAAGCTTCCCCTGTCTGGTGGAGCCAATGCCAGCTGGCTCCAGGATGGACTTCCTGCCTCTGGCCAAGGCCGAGCAGTCAGGAGTGACAGTAACGCCTCTGTGCTAACATATTTAACAACAGAAGGTTGTTGCGCAGAAGAAAAATTCCAGCCAGGGAAGAGCAGAGTGAGAACATGGGAACAACAATGCAGACACCAAGGTCAGTGCAGAAGGAGGGGCAGGAGGTGCTCCAGGCGCTGGAGCTGAGGCCCTGCAGCCCCTGGTGCAGACCATGGTGGGGCAGCTGTGTCCCTGCAGCCCATGGAGGGACATCAGAGTGAGAGACCCACCTGCAGCCCATGGAGGAGCCCATGCTGGAGCAGGTGGATATCCAAAGGAGGCTGTGACCCCATGGGAGGCCCAGATGGAGCAGGTCCTGCAGCCCATGGAGAGAGGAGCCCACGGTGGAGCAGGCTTTTCCTGGGTAGGACTTGTGGCCCCTGTGGAGGACCCATAGTGGAGCAGCTCAGTCGTGAAGGACTGCACCCCATGGAGGAGTGACCCACGGGACAGCAGATTGGGAAGAACTGCTGCCAGAGGGATGGACTCATGCTGGAGAGGTCCATCAAGGACTGTCTCCCATGGGATGGATCCCTCGGAAGCAGGAGATGGACTCGTCTCCCTGAGCAGCGGCAGAAACAACAACTGACCGTAACTCCTATTCCCTGTCCCCCTGCACTGCTGGGGGGGAGGAGGGAGAACTTGAAGGAGGGGTGGGAGAAAGATGTTTTTAAGATTATTTTACTTCTCACTCTTTTGCTCTGATTCTGTTAGTAATAAATTCAATTAATATCCCCACTTTGAGTCTGGTTTGCCCGTGATCAGTAAGTGACCGCTCCCAGCTCTTATCTCAACTCATGAATCCTTCACTTTTTTTCTTTTCCTCTCCTCTGTCCAGTTGCAGAGGGGAGTGGGAGAGGAGCTTTAGTGGCTACCTGGTGTCCAATCCACTGCAGCACGTAAAATGGTGTTACTTTCTAAGGGTTGTTGCCAAACACCCTGTAACTGGTGGAGACGGCTGACTGAAACTGCAGGATGTTAAAATCCTCTCTTACTGGGGACACAGTGGTAGGCCTTGATGCAATTCTCTTTGGCAGTACTCTGGAACAGTTTAAAAGCATCAGCATCCAGGGCCAAGTGAGGTAGGTGTGATCTCCTGTGAGGAGAAGAATGAAATAAAAGAAAGGAGACACATTTGTCCGAGTTCAGTGTAACAGGGGAGCCAAGATGTAGGCATGGCAGCAATGACATTTATTTCTGTTGCCACAGTGTAAGTGACAGGAACATCCATAAACTGAAAGGGGAATATTATAGTACAGTTACCAGGAAAACAACCATCCCTAGTGATGTCTAGGATGCATAATGCACTAGTGCTGGACAGGAGACAGACGCCTATATCACGACTGAATCAGAGGATTCTCAATGCAGAAATCTATAAAGCAAACAGCCTGCAGTTGCAGATAATGGTCATATTACTACACAGCTCTAGTGATGATTTCATGGCTTTTACATGTCTAGAGAGGGACTGTCTGCTAGTTGCAGTATCTTGGAAGTATCGATGAACGAAAAATGTATGTGTAATCCACTACTCAAACTCTCACTCTGGGGAGAATCTAATGAATCATTCTCATGCAGGACACCTATCAGGATCCTTGGGAGTAGGAATGCTGTTAGACTGATGCAAATGGTGAAAAGGCTATAGTCAGGCTGCACACCACAGTGTTGGCAAACACTGTCTAGGAGGTAGTAATAGTCCTTACGTACGAAAGAGAGGAAATAGCAGGTGTCCAGGTTGAGCCTGAACCTCTCAAAGCAAGCCCTGACTGTGAGATTAAAGCCACTAGGGACTAGGGTAGAAAGTCTTATCAGAATGATCATTACCTCAGCAGTTCCTACAAGTGCCAATTTCTGAGAGCAAACATCAGTACAAACATCTACTTGCCAGAGGTGTATCTCCTCCCACTCACTCTTCCTTTCATCCCCAAACTCAGGCCCTGTTAAACTTGCACCTTTTCCTGCTTAACTTTTCAGACTTCTCCTTAGAAGAGAAAGCCTTGTCCTTATCCCAGCACAAAATACCCAAGAGTTACTGCTATCTCCCACTACTGGCTATCTAATCTCTGTGTGGAGTAGTATTCTACTACTCCACACTAATCTAATCTAAAGAGTCTTGCAAAAAACTGCTCTTGCTTTAAGTTCCGTTTCTCTCCACTCCTGCTGTTGTCTAACCTAAAGGTTGGGCATTTGGGACTGGCTGTGCCTGAGTCTTCTCAGTGACTGTGGCACCTCAGGTCTGACATATCATGGTGGGCTGGAGATGGTGATAGAAGAGCGAGCCTTCAAGATGGCAAGGACAACATAACTGCTTGGCAAGTGAGTTGCTTCACCTGGGTGCAGGTTAGATGCCTACACACTCGTACATGTGAGAGAAAGGCAGCCCCTGTGCCCTGCTGGAGGCGGTTGTTGTGCACTATCTGGGAAGGAGGGAGGTACCTAAAACATATTTAATATAATGAATTTCAGTCCTCCATTCTACCTGTCCAAGTGAATTTTGATGTCTAAGTTTAGCCTCTAGAATACCTATATTCTCAAGACATAAACACGTTCATTCAGCAAATGATAGTTTAAGAAGACAGAGCCCAATAATTGTGCCACCACTACCCAGTAGAACAGGCAGAACAGAATGACTGAGCACATCTTAGCCCCTGGACTGCCAGGCAGGCTAAACTCTGCCTACTGTGGCAACTTGAATTCAGCTGCTAGATTTTGCACTGAAGTGGCTGAGATGCCCTCAAAGATGTCTGCAGTAGCTCTCCTGTGGGGATGATACTCTTTAGCAAGGAGTGATAATAAACAGTAGGACGGTGCTAACACTTTAAGCTGCTGCAGCTGTCTGCTAAGTGAGTATGTGTCAACACCTTCAGACTGGAAGGTGAGAGAGTGAAATTATAGCTTTCAGTTACCCTAATTCTGCTTTTGCAATCTCTTTTATTAAACCCATTTCAAGGGTGATTAAGGGACTCAGACGGTTTGCTTGTGTGTTATGAATCCAAGAAAAGTAGTATGTTTCTGAAAGCTTGCATCCTTCTATAGGTTATTGTTTTAACTATGACACCATATTTAGAATGAAAAATTACAGCAGCATAGTCTTATACACGAAAGTCCTAAAACCATCTCAGCATTTCAAACAAAAACATCTGACACTAAAAAAATAGAACACTGAACATGAGGAAGAAAATTAGGTACACAGTTTACAAAGATTTGTGCAGCATAAATATTCTTTTGATAATTACACAAATATAACCTCCTCAGAGTTAATAATAAGATCTAGTCCCTCAGCCTAGCAATGACTTGTGATTCTAGGATCACATTTTCTCTGTAACATTTTCATGTCCCTGTTATAGCTTGAAAGCTGAAGTTAGGGAAGTTCATGGGCAACGTGAAAAAATAAAAATGGAAGATTTGTCACTGTATTGATGTAGTTGTGCTGATATAAACAGAGACTTGTTAGATACTATACAATCACTCAGAGTCTACTTGCGGTTTAATCTCTCCGAGACATTTTGTAAATTTGACAATGTTCTCTACAAATATGTTATGATGCTAATTTACATTTGGAGTCAGTACTGTGCTTCCTATACAAAAAATACTATGAATAACAGAACGGATTTTGTGTACATCATGGATTCTTGATGATGATGTGCAGACTGACATGTTGACGTCAGTGCAGAGAGCAGTATGCAGCTAAACACACACCTACACTTCTTGGTTCTGTTTGATAACAGATTCTCAACAGGAAAAGTGCCCTGACTGTTCCCCTTTTCCACCCTTCAAAAATCTCAAGTGAGTTTAATTTTGGTCTTTTCAACTTCTTGACAACCATTGAGTGGACTATATTATAAGTTTGCTCAAGGTCTGGATGGCAAATAAATCTTTAAATGCTGTATGACAGTGAGAAATGATTAGGGAGCTGGGCAGAACTCTCCTGCCGATTGCCAGCTGGACAGCAGTATGCTTATTTACAATATGTATATATAATCTCCGGTCCAGGTCAGGTTCAGCCACAAAGCAGTCTTTAACATTAGAAATTTATGAGGAACTCAAATTTTTCAGAAACTATTACACATTTTTGACTGTATACGAAATCCATGGCAGCACACGGTATTGTAGGTAAGCACCTGAAGCAGTGCAACCGGCCATGAGTTGTAACACCCTTTTAAACTTCACAGATGTGACCTTGGTTGACAAGAATTCGCATAGTGGGCCTTGAGACTTTTCCTCCAGCCACTGGAAGTAAGCTCTTTCCTCCGTTTTCTGGATACCAGTATTCATCCCTGCTGATGACGCAATTGTTGATGGATGTCTGATAACCAGTCCAGTCACCTCTTTTCAGAGACAGCGATCTCACGATCAAGGGTAGCACAATAAAAAAACCCACCACAACCCAAAACATTACTATTGTTTTTAGAACACAACCCTTTTGTTTCACTGACGACCTTTACTAATTCTCACAAATGCTTTGTTTTTCTTTGTTTCCTTTCACAGAGACCTTACTTGTCCAGCCTCTACGCTGGAAAACACAATTCTAGAGAACGAAATTAAAAATCACACTCCGATAACGATATAGAAAATGTTTAAAACCACCACC